AACGCCGCCGTCTCCCGCCTCTGGCCACGTTATCAACGCCGGACAAAAGTGTCGTTTTATTCATTTTCGGCATTTTCAAAACACGATTTCTTGGCTACTCAAAGTTGGAAAAAAGAAAAAAAACCGAGGCGTATAGTTTTCACTCCGTACTTTCAAAAATCGAATTTAAAAAAAAAGTGGGTGCCCCCGGCCCATCCCGAATTTTTCGCTGATGTTATCGGTGTGGACGGAGGTAGGCCCGGAAATTGGCCCCGGGCGGCCGAGACAATGCCGGCGTTAAAAATGCACGGCACGGCCGACCTGGCAGCCGGGCGAAGCCGGGGTCGCCACGGGTTGTCGAGGGTCGCGGCCGCGAGGGTGAGCGGGGGGAGGGGGAGGGTTGTGCCGCGGCGCGGCGCGGCAGCGGCACCGGCACCGCGTGACTGCGAATTGCGAAGCCCCAATTTGGGAACCCCTCGCGGGGGTGGGCGGGAGGCGAGGAGGAGGGTTTGGGCAAGAAAGACAGTCAGTGCACCGCGCCGCGCCGGACCCCCGCCTCCTCCCCCTCCCGCTCCGCCGCCACCACCTCCTCCTCCGTCCCGGCTCCATCGAACGCCCGACGCGAATAACACAACAGTCAGTGTCGTCCACCCGAATCCTGTGCGTCGCCCGTCGCCGAATTACCGTCCTCTTGGTGCGTCGTCCTCGATCTACCCTCCGAGCTTTTCCGCTTTCCGAGTCGAAGCGCGGGTGTGGGCTGTTGCTTGTTTGTGTGAGTGTACCGTGTACCTGCGGGATCACATGTGATCGGCGCCAGGAGCGCGCGATTTCGAAATCAGTGCGGTGATGTCAGTGTCAGCTGTGCCGGCGCGTGAGTCTGCTTTCCTCGGTGCGTGAGTGTTGATTTTCCGTAGTGAAAAATGTCTGAAAAGGACCATGTTATGTCGTTCAAACGAGGATTACGTCAGTTGACCGTCCAGGAGAAGTTGGAGGCCGTCAAGCGAGTCCACGATGGGGATTCCAAGGCTTCCGTCGCCAGGATGCTCGGGGTGCCGGAATCCACGCTTAGGGGATGGTGCAAAAATGAGGCCAAATTGCTCAACTCTCTGGAGAATGCTAACGTTTACCCGTCTGTTAATCCTGTAAGTGTGTTATTGCAGTCTTTTCATAATCAATAGTCTGGTGAAAGTTGGTAGGCTAACCTCTAACTTCACACAGGCACTTGTTTAGCCCCTTCTTTGAGCGGCTGTATTTCGCATTTCCTCCCCTAAGTTTGCCTTTTAATTTGGGATGTGCTGTCACTCTGAAAGGCAAGCAACTGGTAATATTCCAGTATGGTTAACTTATGCTCGAAGGATCACTGCTCCGTACGACAAGCTTCCTGGACACTTTGTTTACATTGCGGTGACCGCTGAAGATTGCTATCATTGCACTTCGAGAGTGCCATCTGATCTTCTAAATGCTTTCTTTAGATACAAACAAAAACGTATTTTGGTGTCAATCTCAAATCTCATTTAATTATTGCAAGAAACATGAATTTTCATTAGAGAGTTTCCTTTATCGGTTAGAAATTGTACAGTTCCGATTTGAAACTTGGTTTCGCTAAATCTCAGAAATTCATGGAACTCAGTCTTTCATCAAATACAATTAGTCACTCGCCAATTTCAGTCATGATGTACTGATGTGAGAGCTTACTATAATTTACAAGCATTAGATCCTAAGCCCGTATTTCGCTGACAATGAACAAGTGATCACAATATGGAAGGTTCAACCCAAAATTGAGCCAGGTCTTTGGAATGTTTATAATGGTGAGCGATGACAAGATATGGTGAGTTATGGGACTCTACATAAGAAAGTCCAACCTTGTTGAATTAAGGGGCTTGGAGGACAAGGTGCATAAGTGCAGTTTTTGGAAAAATAGAGGTAAGAATCAATGCTTTGAAATAAAACAAGTCTGAATGCGTATTCTGTAAAAAATTAGAACCCTTTTACAATTCTTAAGCATCAGTAAGTCAGTTTGAACTTTCTTTCCACCCTAAAGATCTAATTAATTTTGAAACTTCAGACGAATTTTTATTTTTTTAGAATTGTATTTCTCTAAGAAGCAAAAAGAGCATTTAAAGCACCTTGTCCTCGAAACCCCTCAACCTCTAAAAAGCATTTTTCAGAAAATCCTAAGCATCGGTTGAAATGTTCGTTTTCGGGAACCCTTCGAACTATGTTTTCAGCATGTTAAAATTTACTCATACTTAAAAATAGCAACATTTACTCGTACTTAAAAATCTTTAAATTTTTAAGTCTTTCCTAAACAATTTTAGTGTTGAAAGAGAAGGACTGCAGTTAATATTTTAAGAATTTTTAGCATTTTCTATCTCGAATTTTACCCAAGAAGGGTTCCTAAAATAAAATGTTTAACAGTTCCTTTCAAGAGTTGTATTTTTAAATGCAAGAGTGTTTTTTCAGGGGTGCAAAACCTGCCCGATCATGATATCCGCGGATCGAATGTTCGGAAATTTTTATGAACGTGGGATTCGTCGATCTTTTCGACTCCAGATGTTTCGAGCAATTTTTTAAAAGTGAAGAAAAAAAAATTAACACATTTTTTGAAAATTATAAGAAAGAGAGGACATTTTTCTTAGGGGAGAGACGGTAAAAATCTCGGATCGCGCGAAACGTTCGGCCGAACGACGATTTTTGCACCCCTAATCGCTACTGTTGAAAAAGAAGTCTGGGAGAATATCAGGCCCAGTGCCACGGTCAGCCACGGTGCATGGGGGGGGGGGGGGCAATCTGAAAAAATTGCGTCAAGTATTGCTTGTATGGCCCGCATGTTGTCGTAAGCAGCCTTAAATCCACTCCATCCTCCAGCCATCCCCTGTGACAGAGGTAGGAAAGTAGGATTACTGCCGTGTTACGGAACAGAGCAGTAAGAGGTTGCTAATGCAGAAATGCTCTTCGTAATAATTCACGTACCTATCACGGCTGAATAGCATTCCTGCTGACAAGTGAATTACAGTCGAAAAACGATCATGTTAATTCTATAATCACGTGAATATCATATTTTTTCAAGCAGTGAATTTGCTCGATTTTTGCACCTCTAGGCGTCGCCAAATTTCCTTCTATAAAACCGAATGTAAAGGGAAATTTGTGAATATTTTTTCCCAAAATTTTCGAACAATTTTGTACGCAATTTAATCTAAAATGTCTAAAATAAGCATAACTTTCCTCAAAAATACATATTTCATTCGGGGAAATTTGGCAACTCTCGAATGTTCATACAGCGTTTTTCCTTAGCACGGCAGTAAAGCCATCTGATTTTCTCGACCCTGCCGCGCGCGCGCGCCGCCTAAGACAGGAAACCATCGGGTTTCCGGGGTTTTCCCCAGAAGGGTTCAACTGATCACCAAATCTTCGCCGTGTGTCTGGCTGTCTGGCACTTGGGTGGTTTGGGCGTCATAACCCTCGCTACTCGCCGAGTTTTCGTCGTAGATTTCCTGCGTTTTTGACCGTCTCGATTCTTCTGAAGCTTCCGTCGACGGTGCGCGGTGGCTCCGGTGTGGTCTGTCTGAAACTTCAGCCAACCCTTTTCCTCTCCTACATCTTCCGTCTCCGTCTTTTCGTATCCTTTACCCCGATGCGGGTGCGATGCCGAATGTCTGGCGTCGGCGACTATCTTGCTTATTTGCTTCGGGTTCGCGGACTTCATCTACTCCTGTTTATTTTTTCCAAAGAATTGAATCGGGCCTCACATCCTGTCCACAACCTCTCGCCCCCGCTGAATAGTCCCAAAACGTGACTTAATTCTAACTATAGCATGAGTCATCTCACCGAAATCTTATCTTATCACTTAAGGAAGCGTGTGTGAAGGTCTTGCCCTAGTGGGGAGGGGGGGGGATTTTTTTTTTTTTTTTTTTTTTGCGAGAGGTCGGTACTTAATTGGCAGCTTTGATGTTAATCAATTTGCGAGTCTAATTCTACCGTACCTAGTCAAAGCGTCGCACAAGCAATTGCATTTCGCCAAATTTCCCTTGACGAATCCCGAATTTTCGAGAATTGTAAACTTTTTTTGAGAATTTCGTTTGTATCGGAGAATTTGCACGCAACATTTTATTGCTTCACCTGAAAGTGCGTAAAGAGCTGATTTTGCAGTATTTTTTATAATTTTTTTCTGCTATGGGAAATAGTATAAAAATAGATTTAAAAGTGAGATAATGCGCCGCTCAGTAACGTCATCTGGGGGAATCTCCCATTAAAACGCATGTATTTTAGCAGATTCGATCATTTTGTCATATATCCTCCAATAATTGTTCAGTTCATGAACCAAGGGTATCTTCGTGTTCAGCTCACTTGGTAGCGTCTACTTGAACACGGAATTCATCAAATTTCAGACACTTGCAAATCCTCCAGTGGACGATCTAAATAGGTAGTCTGAAATTTTCAACGAAGATTACTCATAATTTTCCTCAAAAATAAACATGTTCCAAGAGGAAATTTTGCAACTCTCGAATGTTCACACCGCGTTTTTCTTTAGCACAACAGAATTGCTCGCCCGACAATGTTCGCCGATAAAGGCATTCAATCGGTTTTCATGTAGCATCTGTCTTGCTTCATTTAGGCACAAGCGTAAAGAAGTTTTATACGGCTCCCTTGTCCATTTTCGGAGTCACATATGTTGAATTTTAGGTTGTTATTTACAATCAGAATTGATTTAAGTGTTTTTACTGAACCGCCGGAAAAATCGTATTTTAAAGGTTGAATAGTCAACACTGGTCGAAGCGGATACAGCTAGCGCGCAACTATTCGAACTCCGAAGTAGGTATGTGGTATCACGCGAAAATGAAGGCAAATCTTAGCTTTTCGCCTGTCTTAGACGGGTATATCAATGCCGCGATGTTTGACCCATGATGAAAACCCCATTTTTTCCTTTTACAAAGGCGTAAGTTTCTTTTATTTATTTCAGTAGATACCGATGTGCGCGAATTTCCGTAAAAACTAAAATTTCACCGCGTATCTCCGTAGAGCCCGGAAACTTTACGAAACACGCGATGCTAACGCTAATGCGCAAAAGCCCTCCCATTTTTTCAAGAAGCGTTCATGCGGGAAGTTTCTACACCCCTCATTGTATCCTCTCGATGAATTTTTTTGCCGAATTTTCAATTCCCTGAGTTTTACATGTGTGTTATTTCATTCAGATACTACCGTTCGGAACGTTGGGTGCTCACTTAATGACTGATGGATTCGTTAAATGCCAAATAGGATCTGACGTAGGTCTAACATTTGCTTATCTACCTAGGTGTACGTAGTAAGAATAAAATGCACGAGAAGTAAAATGGAATCTTCCGTTTTTAAATATATTTTTAAGCTCCTCAAATTATTCTGGATTTACATTTTTGAAATCTTGAGAACAATTTTACGGAAGTCTTGAAAAGTTACTTGCATATCCTTTAATATACTGATCAGAATTTTTTGAATAACCCTCGAATCCCTCAATTTTAACATTTAACGCTGTCATCACCGCTAAGAGCTGAGACCTATGACCCGAGTCTGATATCGAGGCCCATTCTAATTTTTCCGCGCTTTGAAACAGTAGCGCAGTGCCGTATTAAGGAAAAGCGCCGTATGATCATTCAAATGTTGCCACTTCTCCTCTATGAAAACAATTATCCATGAAGAAATTCTCGCCTATTTTTCCTTGAAATTTGCAGATGTTTCTGATGTAATGGAGATGTTGCATGTGTGAGGAATTTGCGATTTGACTATTGATTCTTATGTAAAAGTTCGCGAGAAACACGATGGTGCCACTGGTTTTTTTTTGAAATCAACTCCCAAGCTCAAAAAAAATTTTCAAATTAAGGCCAAAATGGAGGGAATATCCCACGCTACCTTGAGAGTCCATCTCCACATCAAGACGAACTCTCCATGCAAAGATAGGGAGCAAATACATTGACAGGGCTGCCACTTTATTTGGGGACTCTAAAACTGAAAACACGGCATCACTATCACTGCTAATGTATTTGTTCCCTATCTTCGCATGGAGAGCTTGTCTTGATGTAGATGTAGACTCAGGGTAGCGTGGGATATCCCCTCCATTTTGGCCTCAACTTGAGAGCTTTTTTTGAGCTTGGGAATTGATTTCAGAGAA